CCAATCTGTGTGTGAAAGGAGTCAACCGCAGAGTCCGGCTCCTGCATCATTCAGAGACGAATCCCATCCCCAAGCCCTGAATGAGAAGAAACGCAGCCAGCTTTTACAGGAAGGCTGCACTTCTCCTCCCCTGCCCGGCCGGTGTGGCTCAGTGGTGAGCATCGTCCTATGAGCCAGGAGGTCTCGGTTCCATTCCTGGTCAGGGCACATGCCTGGGTTTCACGCTCCATCCCCAATAGGGGGCGTGCAGGAGGCAGCCGATCGATGATCCTCTTTCATCATTGATGTTTCTATGTCTCTCTCCCTCTCCCTTCCTCTCCGAAATAATAATGTTTAAAAAAATAAAATAAGGTTGCGCTTCTCCTTCCCTAATCTGTGCCAGAAAACACAGTTTCAATCGTTCACCTGAGATCCTCGTGCTCCCGGGAGGACACCCCTGTGCTTCCCAGAAACCCGAGCCAGCCGGCCACACCCCGGATCTCGGGGACGCAGGGCGGGGCGCAGGGAGCCCGGAGTTTGGGAGTAATCAATCCTGGCGCGTGCCAAGCAGGTTTTATCACCAGCCATTCCGCAGAGCGGCCGGGATAACTAAGGCAGCTGTCTCCCTTCATTATCAGCACATAAAAATGCATTTATGCGCAACAAAAGGCTGTCTGGCTGAGTTACTGCCTCAGCTCTTTTCCAGGGAGGAAGTCCGTTTGAAGAGGTTTGCTCTGGAGATGCAAACTGAGCAACAGAACTCCCTGCGGACGGAGTGAATGAACGGGGTCAGCGAGGCGACCGTCAGCCCCAGGACCGGAGACACGGCTCCGGGAGGCCAGGGTCATGTCACGGGGACTAGTTCCAACACGAGGTGCCGTCAGTGCAACTGCTCCCTGGGAAATGATCGGATGAGAGACTCACAGACTCGCTCGGAAGGAACAGTGATGCCTCTGGGAATCTCTAGGCTTTGGCTCGGTTCCGAGGCGCTCGGGTCGGGGGTCCTGCAGCCTCGGACCCTGGAGCCCCAGCCACACAGACGTGAGCAGACAGCGGTGTGAAAAGCAGCCGTTAAAACGTCTGAAATGTGTTTGGAGACGTGGTTGGCCTGGGGGGTGGCAGGACATGAGAAAGGGGCCACAAGACGCGCCCTGGCTCTGGGGGGGCTCTGCACGAAGCCACAGAGGGACCATGGAGGTGTGATGATGAAGCTTCCGGGCAGCGCCCAGCTTCTGACGGGGACGTGGTGCTGGGAGGCGCTCCGGGCGCCAGGCCCAGGTGCCGCCAGTAACTGCCGCATGCACATCTAACACCTAGACGGGCGGCCCTTGAACAGCACAGGGGTCAGGGGCGCCGACCCTCCACGCAGTCAAAAATCATGCATAACTTTAGACTCCGCCCCCAATTGACTAATAGCCTGCTGTTGACTTAATTAGTCAAGTAACGTAGGTTTTGTATGTTGTATGTATTCCATATTGTTTTCTTAGAGTACAGTAAGCTAGGAAAAAGAAAATGTTACTCAGGAGATCGTAAGAGAAAATACGTGTCTGATACTGTATACATTTATTGAAAACATCTGCATGGAGTGGACATGCGCAGCTGAAACCCATAGTGTCCAGGGTCAACTGTAACTCCTAATAAAATGCGCTATTCTAATTTTCCTAGGTGCTGGCATGAAAATCAATAGCCTCTCCTGCTAAATTCGTAATTTTACTAAAACTGCCAGGTGATGCAACAGTAAACATGCCCCCCCAGGGGCCTACTTTGTGGCCATGACTAGAGGTGAGCACGGCAGATGCTCCGGAGGGCCCTGGTCTGGGGTATGCATGTGTGCGTGTTTGTTCGTGTGTGTGTGCGTGTGCGCGTGCGTGCGTGCGTGTGCATGTGTGTGTGCAGGACCACGGATGAACAGTCCCCCTTCCCTGCCCCTAAAACTAACCACTGAAGGGAAGTCACAGTCCGGCTCAAACTGGGTCACGTGAACGGCAACTCTAACGAACGCACTCGGACTCTATGGGAACTCAAATTGTCCTTGAACTTGTTTATTCCCAGAGTCGCTGCTGATGCCACCGACAGCATATCACGGAGATGTCTCTGCTGCGGGCAGTTTTTTGACTAGAAGTACAGAGAGCAGGGACTGCTTTTAAATTTATATGTAAAAAGCAAGGAAAGAGAAGACTTTTAAAGAGAAATATAAATGCCGACATTTAGAGAGTTTTACAAAGATGTTTCTAGATTGTTCTTTTTTATGTTTTTTAAATATATTTTTATTGATTTCAGAGAGGAAGGGAGAGGGAGATGGTCAGCCTGCAGAGAGAGATGGAAACGTCAATGATGAGAGAGCATCACTGATGGGCTGCCTCCTGCACGCCCCACACTGAGGATCGAGCCTGAAGCTGGGCATGTGCCCTGACTGGGAATCGAACCGGGACCTCCTGGCTCCTAGGTCGATGCTCAGCCACTGAGCCACGCTGGGCAAAGTTATTCTTTTTTAGGAAACACATTCTGTTGGGGGGGTACAGGCGCTCAGCCCCGGCTGCCTGGAGGGGACCCGCAGCCACCTTACCCCGGACACTCAGGCACCTCGGGCTCCTCGGGCGGGGGGCTGCCGTCTGACTTCTTCCAGCCGATGACGTACTTGCTCACGGCCCCCTGGCGGTGGTAGGCCTTGGACATGGACCCGGGCACCGGCGGGCCGCCGCTGTGAGCCACGATGTAGACTTTGGACGTGTCCAGGGACCCGGTGCTTTTGGAACAGTGAGCGGAAGGGCTGCCTGAGTGGTGTGAGCCGCTGAGGAGAGGACAGACAAAAGGTGCCATGCAGGCGGAGTTCAGTGGTGCTGGCTCGTCCCCGGGCTCACAGCCGCCCGCGGCAGAGGCCTCCGTTTACGTCTGCTGCCTGTTGTCCTGTTCCATGTCCCCTGCGTGCATGCGTGCAGCATCCTCCTGCCCCAGGCACCTTGAGCATCCTTAGCCCGGGGAGGTCGGGCGCTCTGACACGTCCCTGCCTCCCGCTGCCCTCCTTGCCCTCAGAGGCGGACAGGTGTGAGCATGTAGCTGTGAGCTCGGGACAAGCGTGGTCTTGCTCTCAGAGGTGGGCAGGAGTGAGTACAAACATATGGCTTGTTAATGTGCAAATCTCACAATTTGAGACATATCTTACCTGCACCCTGCTCCTCTTTCAGGCTCTACCCCAACCCACCCCACAGGTGAGGCGCGGGGCCCAAGTGATTCCCCAGGTGAGGTGCCTGGGCCCAGGTGACCTTGCAGGTGTGGGCAGCGGGCGGCAGGCACTCACCTGGAGTGAGAGGAGATCTCGCTGAGGTCGCCTGTGCTGCCGTCAGCGGTGCCACTGGTGGGGGCGGGCGCATAGCCGT